GATCCGTGGCTACCACCACCACCACACTAATCTACCACCAACACCATACTCCTCTACCACCACCACTACACTCCTCTACTACCACCACCAGACTCCTCTACCACCACCACAACCACCACCACAACCACCACCACAACCACCAACCACCAACCACTAACCATCAGAGGACCCTGACCACCACCTGTGATGACGTCCTACCAGCAGTGTTGCCACACAGGGCTCCGACAGGTCCCCTCTACCATCACCTGAGCCTCGCTCATCTGGCAACACATTTGATCTATTTTGTTTATATTTATATATTTATATTGATTTATATATTTGATATATAGTTCATATATTTATTACCTGGCTCTTATTCCTCGCAGGTAGTGAAGGATGCTTGTGTTTGGGTGTGTCTGTCTTCTAAACAATTGGGCAGCGTGTGTTCGACTTCATGATAATATTAGTTTCTTTGTTGAGTGCTTCAGGGCCTGTGCTTGGGTTCGAATCCACCTCGCGGCTCCTACTGGTTCTTATACGTACTGATGTCTTGCCATATCGGCTTAGGCCTATCTCTTTATAATTTGCTTCCTTTGGTTGTTAGGCATGGATAATAACAAGGATATAATCAGTTGGAGCCGTGCGGAGGATTCGAACCATGCGTACTCCTAGACACACGCCTTAAACCACTGAGCCATGATATGTTTCAAGTAATGCCACCTTACCTTGAGGTTACCTTGAGGTGCTTCCGGGGCTCAGCGTCCCCGGCCCGGTCGTCGACCAGGCCTCAAGATATATTCTGCTGAAGCCATTGAGTCGTAAAAGACATAAAGAAGCGACTTCATGGCAAGAGTCGTCCACTTGCAATAGTCTCAATGAACAAGTTGTCTACGATACATTATTGCACAATTTTAAATGAAAATTTAATTTGAAAACTAAAATCGTTTCACTAATGTTTCAAAAGGCGGGGCTTAGGAGCTGTTGCTTTACTGTGCAAGTACATTTGGGTGAGTACACACAAAACAGACCAGGGGGGGTGTAGGGGGGAGTGGGGGGGTGTAGGGGGGAGTGGGGGGGTGTAGGGGGGGGAGTGGGGGGTGTAGGGGGGAGTGGGGGGGTGTAGGGGGGAGTGGGGGGGTGTAGGGGGGGCTAGCATCGTTGTCAAGATATTGGTGTGGGTGAGGCAGCGTCTTGGAGAAGCTGTAACTATTGCCATTAATGAGTCACAGAGAAATAGTTGGCATCTCAGTGCCAGGCTGATTACTGCCGGATATGGGGGGGGGGAGGGGGGATCCTCCCCCCTCCCCCCTTCCGATGATTGTGGTGATGATGCCTGACTGTTGTTGTACTTACCTATTTGTACTTGCGGGGGTTGAGCTCTGGCTCTTTGGTCCCGCCTCTCAACTGTCAGTCAACAGGTGTACAGGTTCCTGAGCCTATTGGGCTCTTATCATATCTACATTTGAAACTGTGTATGGAGTCAGCCTCCACCACATCACTGCCTAATGCATTCCATCTGTCAACCACTCTGACATTGAAAAAAATTGTTTCTAATATCTCTGTGGCTCATTTGAGCACTTATATTCCTCAAGTGCCCCCTAGTGCGTGTGCTTCTTGTGTTAAATAGTCTGTCTTTATCTACCCTGTGAATTCCTCTGAGAATATTGTACGTAGTGATCATGTCCCTTCTAACTCTTCTGTCTCCAAGTGACGTGAGGTTTAATTCCCGTAGTCTCTCCTCGTAGCTCATACCTCTCAATTCGGGTACTAGTATGGTGGTAAACCTCTGAATCTTTTCCAGTTTAGACTTATGCTTGACTAGATATGGACTCCATGCTGGGGCTGCATATTCCAGGATTAGTCTGACATATGTGGTATATAATGTTCTGAATGATTCCTTACCTAAGTTTCTAAAGGCAGTTCTTATGTTAGTCAACCTGGCATATACCGCTGATGTTATCCTCTTGATATGTGCTGCAGGAGACAGGTCTGGCGTGATATCAACCCCCAGGTCTTTCTCTCTCTCTGACTCTTGAAGAATTTCATCTCCCAAATGATACCTTGTATCTGGCCTCCTGCTCCCTACACCTATCTTCATTACATTAAATTTGCTTGGGTTAAACTCTAACAACCATTTGTTCCAACATTCCTGCAGCTTGCCCAGGTCTTCTTGAAGCCTCAAGCTGTCCTCCTCTGTCTTAATCCTTCTCATAATTTTGGCGTCGTCAGCAAACATTGAGAGGAATGAGTCTATACCCTCCGGGAGATCATTTACGTATATCAGAAACAGGATAGGACCAAGTACAGAGCCCTGTGGGACTCCACTGGTGACTTCACGCCAATCGGAGGTCTCACCCCTCACTGTAACTCTCTGCTTCCTATTGCTTAGGTACTCCCTTATCCACTGGAGCACCCTACCAGTTACTCCTGCCTGTCTCTCCAGCTTGTGTACCAGCCTCTTATGCGGTACTGTGTCAAAGGCTTTCCGACAGTCCAAAAAAATGCAGTGCCCCTCCTGCCTTCTCGTTCTTGCTTAATCTTTATCACCTGGTCGTAGAATTCTATTAAGCCTGTGAGGCAAGATTTACCCTCCCTGAACCCATGTTGATGGGTTGTCACGAGGTCTCTTCTCAACACCTCTCTTCTTAACACGTCCCTTCTCACGCACCTTCTCAGTGTGTGTGTGTGTGTGTGTGTGTGTGTGTGTGTGTGTGTGTGTGTGTGTGTGTGTGTGTGTGTACTCACCTAATTGTGTCTGCAGGATCGAGCATCGACTCTCGGATCCCGCCTTTCGAGCCATCGGTTGTTTATAGCAATGACTATGGTCCTATTTCCCTATCATACCTGGTTTTATAATTATGAATAGTATTTGCTTCCACAACCTGTTCCTTAAGTGCATTCCATTTTTCCACTACTCTCACGCTAAAAGAAAACTTCCTAACATCTCTGTGACTCATCTGAGTTTCCAGCTTCCACCCATGTCCCCTCGTTCTGTTATTATTACGTGTGAACATTTCGTCTATGTCCACTCTGTTAATCCCCCTGAGTATTTTATACGTTCCTATCATGTTGTAATAACTCGCATTGTAAATATCTCTCCCGCGCACCCCGCTACTACCACTGAACTAACCGTGCAATCTCCCCTCTTCCTATGGTGATAACGGATGCCTTTCTTATTATGTAAGATGTTAACACTCGGGACGTCATACGAAGACGTAAACCAGTACACAGAGAGAGAGAGAGAGAGAGAGAGAGAGAGAGAGAGAGAGAGAGAGAGAGAGAGAGAGAGAGAGAGAGAGAGAGAGAGAGAGGCAGAGCGAGAACAAGAGCAAGGGAGGGAGAACGAGAGCGAGTGAGGGCGAAGGAGAATGTGACAGATAGATAGAGATAGTCACAGCCTAGCGTATGAGTTACCGAGTGACGCTGCCACCACCCTGAGTTACAGGACAGGGGACCGGAGTGAGATTCGTAGGTCTTACAGATGGAATAACCTACCAGGACAGGTGAAGGGGACAATTGAACGGCACAAGGATCCTGGCCTGACACTCGAATAATCCTGACCACTTGGGAACTATAGAGTACACAAGAATAAGGCGGGACACAGCCAATACTAACACCTCAACACGGGACGGACGGGGAGAGGAGTACTGGATAATTACGGACACTAGGAAACTGGGGCAAAGGGGACGGTAGGTCCAATATCACTAAGACAAGGAACCATTAATACGCAGTTAATAACACTTAACAATATATGAGTTTATTTGAAATAACCAACTAAGACACTTCCTAACTATATTCCCTACTAGAGGCCATGAGTACTGAATGAGGTGCTTTAGTACAAGAGAGCCGTACTTACTCGTATGTTGTTCCACAGTTTTCCTGGAGATGATGTTCCTTCCCTGATTCCACTCACACCGTCCTCCTGGGCTGCGCCCACTCTACTGTCCCTTCCATGATCTCCTTCTCCCCAGCTGAACACGAGGGTTTGCATTTTGATGTTTAGGGGTTAATCCCTGAAGATTATCATGACGGCATCAACTCTGACCTCTTCGCTGACCTGTCCTCCTGGTTAACTGGTACTGAGGTGTAACTTTTACATTGTCTGCCGCCGCCTGACTGGCGCCTGTGGTTTGTTCATCCTCCACGTGGCTTGTTCATGCTGTTATGATCATGTTGTACCACTATGTACGGCTCTCTTGTTACAATGTCCCCCCTCTCCCTTCTTCTTTCTAGTGTCGTAAGGCACAGTTCCTTCAGGCGCTCCTCATACTCCATCCCTCGTAACGCTGGGACGAGTCTCGTTGCAAACTTCTGAACCTTTTCCAGTTTCCTTATGTGTTTCTTCAGGTGGGGACTCCATGATGAGGCGGCATACTCTAAGACTGGCCTCACGTAGGCAGTGTAAAGCGCCCTAAAAGTCTCCTCACTTAGGTTTCTGAATGATGTTCTAACTTTTACCAGTGTAGAGTACGCTGCTGTCGTTATCCTATTTATATGTGCCTCAGGAGATAGATTAGGTGTTACGTCCACGCCCAGGTCTCATTCTCGCGTCGTCACAGGTAGGCTGTTCCCCTTCATTGTGTACTGTCCCTTTGGTCTCCTATCACCTAGTCCCATTTCCATAACTTTACATTTACTCGTGATGAACTCCAGTAGCCATTTTTCTGACAATCTCTGTAACCTGTTCAGGTCCTCTTGGAGGATCCTGCAATCCTCAGGATCACACATGTGTGCGAGTGCGTGTGTGTGTGTGAAAAAAAATTGTTAGTAGTTAGTAACAGTTGATTAGCCGTTGATCACCGGCGCCGGGAATCGAACCCCGGACCTCAGGATTACGTGTCCAACGTGCTGTCCACTCAGCCACAGGTGCCCTAAGTGTGGGTGTTGTGGTGATGTTACATGACTGTTGTAGTTGTGTGGATGTTGTGGATGTCACACTGTCAACCTCACTCTACGACTGACTCTCGTAGTTGTGTTTCCTCTAAGCTGTGTGGCTCATGTTTTCTATTTTTGTATTTCAGAGACAGAGCGAGAGCGGCTCCCCCGGGCCTACTGGATGTTGAAGGTAAGGTGATAAGGTGTCGGGTGAGCCTGATACGGTGTCAGTTGAGCCTGATAAGGTGTCAGGTGAGCCTGATAATGTGTCAGTTGAGCCGGATAAGGTGTCGGGTGAGCCTGATAATGTGCCAGTTGAGCCTGATAAGGTGTCGCGTGAGCCTGATAATGTGTCAGTTGAGCCGGATAAGGTGTCGGGTGAGCCTGATAATGTGTCAGTTGAGCCTGATAAGGTGCCAGGTGAGCCTAATAAGTGGGTTCACGTGTTGCAAATGAGTTATGAACATATTGTTACATAAATATATATATATATCTTTTCCTGGCCTAATTAGTGTGTGGTGGACGTGCACAAGCCCACTACTAGTGTCGCCGGACGCCTGCCACAGGTATGAAGGACAAGGCAAGATTACACAAGCCTAATTACCGTTTTGTATAATTGCACTCATTATTAGACTGTAAAGAATTTCGTAAGTATGGTCTCGTTAACGGTCAAAATTACCGTGAAAGGGTTTCTAACTATGTCATTGTAGCAGTTAGTCCAGCCGGAGCCCTGACTGGTCCATTAGTGGACTGGGTACAGTCCATTAATGGACACTAACCACAATGGACACTAACCACAATGGACACTAATCACGTGACCATCCCATGCTTGCGTGTGACGTATAGTTAACTGCCCAGCCGACGGTGGGATTCGAACCCCGGTCGCAAATGTGGCGGGAAAAGTCTGATTTCACAGGCAAAAAGACTTGGCCTCAAATAGCCTGGTTGTAACACCTGGTTTTGGTTTGGTGGTCGAGTTTAGTAGCTCAGCTCTGTTCTGTCCTACGGGCTCACCATAGCCCGTGCTACTTGGAACTTTTTGTTCCAGGTAGCGAAACTTGAACCACATCAACAATCTGTTTTGTCCATTCATTCTCCTCTTGACAGTTACTCATTCCTACTCATCGGTTTGAAGGAGTAATGAGTGAGCGGGTTGAATATATAATTATGGGTTACACCACATTCCTCCAACTATGGGAGCACCCACGTACAACACCCATGTACAACACCCATGTACAACACCCACGTACAACACCCACGTACAACACCCACGTACAACACCCATGTACAACACCCACGTACAACACCCATGTACAACACCCACGTACAACACCCATGTACAACACCCATGTACAACACCCATGTACAACACCCACGTACAACACCCATGTACAACACCCACGTACACCACCCACGTACAACACCCATGTACAACACCCATGTACAACACCCATGTACAACACCCACGTACAACACCCATGTACAACACCCACGTACAACACCCACGTACAACACCCATGTACAACACCCACGTACAACACCCATGTACAACACCCACGTACAACACCCACGTACAACACCCACGTACAACACCCATGTACAACACCCATGTACAACACCCACGTACAACACCCATGTACAACACCCACGTACACCACCCACGTACAACACCCATGTACAACACCCACGTACAACACCCACGTACAACACCCACGTACAACACCCATGTACAACACCCACGTACAACACCCATGTACAACACCCATGTATAACACCCACGTACAACACCCACGTACAACACCCATGTACAACACCCACGTACAACACCCATGTACAACACCCATGTACAACACCCATGTACAACACCCACGTACAACACCCATGTACAACACCCACGTACAACACCCATGTACAACATCCACGTACAACACCCATGTACAACACCCATGTACAACACCCACGTACAACACCCACGTACAACACCCACGTACAACACCCACGTACAACACCCACGTACAACACCCATGTACAACACCCATGTACAACACCCATGTACAACACCCACGTACAACACCCACGTACAACACCCACGTAGAACACCCTTGTACAACACCCACGTACAACACCCACGTACAACACCCACACCGACACTACGTACCAATATAATGAAGTAGTGAGGGGGGGGGGTTGATTAATGGTTAGGGGGTTGATGGTCATTGGGAGGAGGGGGGAGGTAAGAGATAAGGGGGGGGGAGGGAGGGAGGGGTAGAGATTAGGGGAGAGGCGGGATGAGGGGCGATACTTTACCCTCATTTCCCACCACTTCATTACCTTAATTCTTGACCCTATGGAATTGTTTGCCAGTCTCTCTCCCCAACCACTTCGGATGGATGGTAGAGCGACGGTCTCGCTTCATCCAGGTCGGCGTTCAATCCCCGACCGTCCATACAGTCGTAATGGCTTGGCCCTTTCCCTGATAATTCCCTCCCCTCTCTCTAAATGACCGAACACTGGTTCAGGTTCACCAATTAGTGACGGTCGCGTCCGTTTCGTATGGTGTAGCCTAAAATATGCGTTCGAAGCCTCCCTCAGTTAGCCTATTGGTTTCTTCTGCTCTACCGTCCGCAGTGATCAGAGGTAAACTCGGTGTACCAAGCTGACTAGAAGGTAAACTCGGTGTACCAAGCTGACTAGAAGGTAAACTCGGTGTACCAAGCTGACTAGAAGGTAAACTCGGTGTACCAAGCTGACTAGAAGGTAAACTCGGTGTACCAAGCTGACTAGAAGGTAAACTCGGTGTACCAAGCTGACTAGAAGGTAAACTCGCTGTACCAAGCTGATTAGAAAGTAAACTCGCTGTACCAAGCTGATTAGAAAGTAAACTCAGTGTACCAAGCTGACTAAAAGGTAAACTCGGTGTACCAAGCTGACTAGAAGGTAAACTCGGTGTACCAAGCTGATTATCTATATCCCGTTCGCTTTCTCTCCCTTTCTCTCATTGTTGCCTCATTTCTTTCTACCTTATCTCTCACTTCTCACAATATCTCTTCATCCCCCTCACAACCTCATCTCTCCCCTCCTCCTCCTCACAGCCTCATTCCCCCTTCTTCTCCTCGCTACCTCATCCCTCGCGACTAAGTAATTACTCTGCCAATTGTTTACGTTCGAGGTAATTAGGGCTGGTGTTCCTATAAGCGGAGGAATGTGGCGCCCCCTACCAGGCGTCGAGGCTCTTACACCCTCCACCGGATTCCGGCGGATTCCGGCTCAGCTGTGCTCTCGTGAACGTCAACAGCATCGACTAGGGACGGATTCATGCCAGATATACAACTCCGAACACCATGATGAGAGAAAACGGGAGCCCATGGATGATTTCTCGTCTGGATGATGTATGGATTGCGGCCCGAGGGAGGGGTGGGGACGGGGGGTTTGGTCGGATTCATAGCTGGATGCGTTGCTATGAACGACACTGTTTGGGAATCCTGTTATACAGAGACGGATTCACAACTGACTTGTGGGAGGCACAAACGTAGCAGAAAACACGACAGTGAATTTTTTTTATAGTCGCGCGCGCGCGCGCACACACACACACACACACACACACACACACACACACACACACACACACATTTAGGACATTTATTTAACACAAGGGGAACACGCACAAGGGGACACAGGTGGAAACTGAGTGCCCAAATGAGCCACAGAGATATTAGAAAGAACTTTTTTAGTGTCAGAGTGGTTGACAAATGGAATGCATTAGGAAGTGATGTGGTGGAGGCTGACTCCATACAAAGTTTCAAGTGTAGATATGACAGAGCCCGATAGGCTCATGAATCTGTACACCTGTTGATTGACGGTTGAGAGGCGGGACCAAAGAGCCAGAGCTCAACCCCCGCAAACACAACTAGGTGAGTACAACTAGGTGAGTACACACACACACACACACACACACACACACACACACACACACACACACACACACACACACACATTTAGGAAGTGATGTGGAGGCTGACTCCATACACAGTTTCAAGTGTAGATATGATAGAGCCCAGTCGGCTCAGGAACCTGTACACCAGTTGATTGACAGTTGAGGCGGGACCAAAGAGCCAGAACTCAACCCCCGCAAGCACAACTAGGTAAATAACTAGGTAACTAGGTAAGTACACACACACACTACCGTATTCCAGAGAATGTAGACTCATTCCTCTCAGTGTTTGCTGATGATGCCAGAATTATGAGAAGAATTAAGGATTGCGACAGGAGGACAGCTTGAGGCTTCAACAAGACCTGGACAAACTGAAGGAATGATCCAACAAATGGTTGTTAGAGTTTAACCCAATCACATGTAGTGTAATTAAGATAAGTGTAGGGAGCAGGAGGCCAGATACACGGTATCATTTGGGAGATAAAATTCTTCAAGAGTCAGAAAGAAAGACCTGGAGGTTGATATCACGCCAGACCTGTCCTCTGAAGCCCATATCAAGAGGATAACATCAGCGGCATATGCCAGGTCGGCTAACATAAGAACGGCCTTTAGAAACTTGTGTAAAGAATCATTCAGAACCTTGTGTGTCAGACCAATTCTGGAGTATGCAGGCGGAATGGGAAGACATGGATGGACTGCATCTACTTGGATTACCAGAAGGCATGTGATACAGTTCCCTACGTTAGACTCGTATAGAAACTTGAGGACCAAACAGGTGTTCAAAAAGGACTTGAACTGGGCTCTAATTCATACGTCAGACTGCGGGCAGGGACGTCTTAAAGCCTAGTTCAGTAGACCAACATCCAGGAGGCCTGGTCAGAGACCGGGCCGTGGGGATACTGGTCCTAGGAACCACCTCAAGGTCAAGACAAGACAAGAGAGGGGTAGAGGAGACGCATCAGAAGGTGGGGGGGGGAGGTGTAACACTATAACCACTACAAGAGTGTTATAATGTCAGGAAAAGCCACTAATATACCGAATATGTCCAGGATGGAAGTGACCGCAGCCATTTCAATCCATCTTGAATATAACGAATCAAGATGGATTGAGATCCTAAGTTACCAACTTGAGAGAGAGAGAGATTGTAGAGAGAGAGAGAGAGAGAGAGAGAGAAAGAGAGAGACAGAGTGAGAGAGAGAGAGAGAGATTGTAAAGAGAGAGAGAGAGAGAGAGAGAGAGAGAGAGAGAGAGAGAGAGAG